CTGACCACAGCCTGGATTGACTACAGGAAAGCCTATGACTCAATGCCACACACATGGATCTGTGAATTCCTGGTGCTATACAAAGTCAACAGGATGCTAAGGACCTTCCTCAAGAACTCAATGGGACTGTGGAAGGCAACACTGGAAGTCAGCTCAAGACAGCTTGCACAAGTGGCCATCAAGTGCGGCATATACCAAAGTGATGCACTGTACCCGCTGCTGTTCTGCATAGGCTTAAATACCCTCAGTCAGATAATCACAAGATCTGGATATGGGTACAAGTTCAAGAGTGGAATCACCATCAGCCACCTCCTCTACATGGATGACATCAAGCTGTATGCTAAGAATGAATGAGATATCGACTCACTGATCTACCTGACACAGATCTACAACGAGTATATTGGGATGTCATTCAGACTGGAGAAGTGTGGCCAGATGATAGTAAAGAGATGGAAGGTAGTTAAGACAGATGGAGTGGAACTAACTACCAGTGGGCCACATAGCAGACATAGAGACCAGCTATAAATACCTTTGCATGCCACAGTCACATGGGAACCATGAGGAGGAGGCAAGGAGGACAGCAACATCCAAGTACCACCAAAGGATAAGACAAGTCATGAAGAGCCAGCTCAATGGGAAGAACAAGATCCATGTCATCAACATGTACGCCCTGCCAGTCATCAGATACCCTGCAGGTATAGTGAGCTGGCCAAAGGAAGACATGGAGGCTGCTGATGTGGAGACCCGGAAGCTCCTCACAATGTACAGAGGTTTCCACCACAACTCCAACACTCAGAGATTGTACACCAGTCGCAAAGAGGGCGGGCGGGGTCTGATGAGTGTCAAAGCCACTGTCCTGGATGAAACCCGGAGCATCCAGGAGTACATCAGTAAGATGGCACCCAAAGATGGGCTGCTGAGAGAATGCCTGAGGCAGCAGCAGACATGGGAAGAAGTTCAAGTGAATGAAGTGCCATGTCAAGACAACGCCATGCATGGGATGGACCATCGACAGACAGCTGAGGTAGCTGACATTAGGAAATCCTATCAGTGGGTGGAAAGGGCCGAATTAAAACACAGCACTGAGGCACTGATCATAGCAGGACAAGAACAGGCACTAAGCACCAGATCCAAGAAGCAGGGATCTACCACACTAGACAGGACCCTGAGCAGAGGCCTCAGAGACAGTCCAACACATAGTGGCAGGGTGTAAGATGCAGGCAGGAACAGGATACACTGAACGGCACAACCAAGTAGCTGGCATCGTGTACAGGAACATCTGCACAGTGTATGGGCTAGACCCTGTCAAGTCCAGATGGGAGATTCCACAGAAAGTCATGGATAATAACAGGGCTAAGTTCCTGTGGGGCTTCCAGATCCAGACGGACAGGCAGGTACTGGCCTATCAACCAGATATTGTGGTAATAGACAAAGACCAGAAGACAGCGGTAGTGATAGATGTAGCCATGCCAAGTGACAGGAACATCAGGAAGAAGGAGCATGAGAAGCTGGAGAAGTACCAGAGCCTGAAGGAGGAACT